TTATCAAAAAGAAAAACAACCAGAGATCTTAGCAAAATATGAAAACATTTCGAATAATGAAGTATCTAAAATAGTTGGACAAATGTGACGCAATGAGCCAAGTGAAGTAAAAATGAAATTTAAAGACCTAGTTAATATTGTGAAGTTAGAACACAGAATAAAATATCCTGAATACAAATACAATTCTCATTGTTCCTACAAAAAACTAACAAGAAAGCAGCGAAATACATCAGTTTCTAGTAATGATAGTCAATTTTTCCCATCTGCACCTGCGTTATCAAAAAATCAAATAGAAATTAAAGTTAGTCAAGATAATGAAGTTTTTTCATCAAACAGTGTTAAAAATCTACAAGAGAATCAACTTGAGCTTTTAAATTTCTCATATAAAGAAGAAATTAATATTAGTAAAGATAATGATATTTTTTCAGCAAACTGTACTAATTATCCCCAAGAGAATCAACCTGAGTGGTTAAATTTCTTAGATAATAATGCTTTTTCACCAAATAGTACTAATTTTCTCCAAAAAAATCAACTTAAGCTTTTAAATTCCTCATACAAAGAAGAAATTAATGTTAATCAAGAGAATCAACTTAAGTTTTTAAATTTCTCATACGAAAAAGAAATTAATGTTAGTCAAGATAATTATCTCCAAGAGAATCAACTTTACAAAGAAGAATTGCTTAATTATAATTATCTTCTATTGTTTACTGAAGAGGAATTCAATATTTATTTAAATTTATTAAATGAAAAGGAAATTAAATATTTTTAACCACTAAGTTTAATTTATTAAAACAAGTTTGGAGTATTTTATTAATATAACCAAAATTATAGACAAATTTTATTATTATTTGTTAATTATAGTAATTATGTAAATATAATTGACAAGGTTTTATAAACTATGTTTTACTCTAAACTGTAAGTAAATAGTAATGATTATGAGAATTATTTTTTTAAAAGTACAAATGTATATTTTAATTTTAAAAATTACTTAATTTACACTAACGCTAAGTCTGATATTATTTTTATATAAACCGAAATTAAACTTATACTTATTAAAAATTAACCCGGATTAAGATTAGGGTTAAGGTGAGGCCTAGGATTTTATCTAGGCATTAGATATATGCAAAATTTAGCAAGGAATATATTTATTAGAGCCCCAAAAACAGTTTCATAGGCGAAATTTTGAGATATTGATTATAACGTGTATATATACACTAATGTACAAGTAGAAATTCTCTTTAATTTTAATTAATTTTAACAATTAAAATATAAATAAATAAATATTTTAAAAATAATTTTTTTTTATTGTATATTAGTAAATAAGATTCAGAAATGAAAAGTTATTGAGTATTACTCTATATTCTAAGAATGGTTTATATTCCATAATTCTTTGTTTTTAAAAGTAGGCATTTTAATTTTTGAAAACATATCATAAAAATTTGATAAAACTATCAAACTAATTTGTAATTAAAATATTAAATAAACAAAATATCAAAAGAACGTTTTTATTGCTAAATAATTTAACTACATCGCATTTTATTATATGTTGGTTTATGTCGATGGATCCAGCCATATAGTAATAATAAAAAAATATCATCTAAATTTCACTTTTTTATGAATAATTTCTACTAAAAACATTTTCTGTTCTATTAATAGTTTCAATGTATTCATTGTATTGTTGTTGTTGTAATTGTTCTGATGAATCAGGATTATTTCTTTTATGATATCTTTTTGCTAGACAAATTATTGCTATTACTACTATCGCACCTCCTAATATTGTTAATACCGCTATTAATCCAGTATTATTCATTCAAAATATTGTCTTTTTTTTTGTAGTGCTTCGAATAATGCCTGTTGGACCTTTTGTTTGTGATTATTGCTTAAAGTCTATTATCACTTTAAGAGATTTTGTTTATTTGTTACTTGGTTTCGTATTAGTTTGCTTCAAATATTTTTAATAGAGGTAGTGGTTAGCAAAAAATTGATGTTTAACACTAACAGAAGAGAAGG